ACAACATGATTAAGTGCACACATAACAGCTTTCCTCACAGGCACCTAGATCAATTTATAATTACCACTTAAAAGAGCAGGCAGCAGGACTCTGCTACTATTATGTCTTTATCAATGCAAGACAAAAAATAAAAATAAAAATTGAAAAAGCTAAAGTAAATTAGGCATAATGTTGTTAAGCTGTCACACTAATAGTAAATGCTCCCACTTACAGGAACCAGTGAGAAAGAACTGACAGACTGCTTTTCTTCAAAAGTTCCCCTCTCATCCCTGTTTTCCTTCTCTGGTGGCTGCAATAAGAAATTTTAAAAAACAACTTTAAAAAAATCCAACCAATAGATGATATTCAACAACTGAATATTAACTATGCACCATAAAAAAATCCCCCATGATGCTCTGCTATGACAACAAAGAAGATTATGTTTCCTCATATCTATTTGATCTCAGAAACTGTATTTTTTTAGTAAAGTGAAAGGACAAGCAATACTATACACCCATGAGAGATGGCAGCCTACATACTATTAAGTAGGGTCAATGACAACCATTAATGCTGCAATTTTATGAAGACTGCATAAAAATCACAAAGACTTTTCTGCCATCACAAAAGAGCTGTTTATGTACAAGACAGCAGGAATCAACCCCTCCCTTCAAGCAGGGATTATTGCTAGTTATTGATACTGACAGCAGAAGAGAGATCCTAGCCTTCCAATGCAATTGCGTGATTAAAACCTTAAGGTAGACCCTTTCAAATAGTCAAGTCCTGTAGAACATATTTAGAGATTGTGTTTTTTAAAAACTGATTTGTCAAATTCTGCAGATGTCTCTGTGGTGCAGCAAACTTCGTGGAATACTTAACTACTCCAGTAACTTAAACCTGCTACATGCACGTTTTAAAGTTTAAAATGGTTATTTTTTGTAACAGTTTTGACAATAACTGCACTGTCAAAACAACTACTGAAACCAGCCAATATAATCCCCAATACACATCAATATTATCCTTTCATGAACTCAGAAAAAACTAGGGGCTTAAGGACTAGGAAACAAAATTAAATCTCCTACCATTACTGTATTAAATGGCCTCTGAAGTGATCAATAGAGTAAGGCAAACAAAAAATATTAACCAAAACACTGTTTCTGAAAAAGCAACTGATGGAAATGGAGATAGAGCTCTCAACACGTAAAAATTCTTCAAACATAAGTACTGGTGTAAAATAAGGTTATTGAGGGTACAGACCCTCCATGCTACTGAACAGAACAAGAAAGGATTTCCAGAAACTGTGTAGCCTGTTTGACTGCAGATGTCAGAGGTACTGTGCTGACAAAAAAGTCACTCAAAATATGGCTCCTCCTAAAACATCAAGAATATTTTGACTTTTAAGTCAATCCACATGAAGTGGATTAAATACCCTGACTGAACCTACATAAACTCTTAACAATCAAACTGATCCGAGACCACAGCAGCCCCAGTAAAAGCAGCCCTGTCCTACCCCAGATACACACACATGCCCTCGACAGACTAATGGCAGGACTTCAGTTTTCAGGACCTGTGTTCAGAAGCTAATCTGACTAAAAATTAGAATTTTAATTTTTCTGTTTGTTTGGGGCTTTTTCAGTAGGGCTAACTTTTCAGTAACATCTACAAGAGACACTACTCCCTTTAGCAGGCATACTGCCAGCTGAGTTTCACTGACAGCCAGACAGAAATCTTCACTGGGTTCCAGAGGAAGCACATAAGGAATTTGTTGCCCATACCTGTTATAACTTCCTGACTGCTAAGGAGGAGGGTGGGAACACGCACATACCTTTGGCTGAGGTGAATTTTATTCTGGAAATTGCTTTTTATTTCCATTTGTTATAAAAAAGATAAGAGTGAGCAGCTCAAACGTGCATGTTTAACTTTGAAAATCCTGCTCTCCCTAGTTTGGCAAATGAACAGACAGTGGGGAGGTATGTCTCTTTTCTCACAGCATTCTGCTTTGTTCTGCTTCCCAGTTACATTTCAAATACTTTCAGGCTGGATCTATCTGTCCCCATCTTTTTTAGGTGCCCACACTGAGCAGAAGTTAAACATCTGATCAACAAAAGTCAGATATGCAAGTTTAAGCTGTTCACATTCAAACTTCTTTTACAGTGAGTGGAAAGTCTTCCCTAAGAGGAAAAAAATAAAATTGTATTCAAGTAACAACATGTTTCTTAAAACAAAAGTTTTCATGATGCAAAAGTGTCCAAGAAACAAAGAAAGATCAAAGTGCCAGTTACTACTTGATTCTGAAATATAGGAACCAAAAGTCCTACTTAGACAGACTGGGAAGGAAAGACTACAGACACAAATTGTGATGCAGGCATTTGGTGAGGTTTTTCCTAAGGGTTGGTTGTAAAAGGTAAAATGTTTAACAGATTGAGAGACACATTAATGCTAGAATAGTAAATATTTGCAGCAGAAATACTCCCTCTAGCTATGGAAAGTAAAATAAACTGAATTTGACTTGATAGCCAGATTATGAGTGAGCAAAGTCAGGTAAAAACAAGCTGGATTTAATGGAATGGTGGATTTACACAGCTTGAACACTGGTCAAGCAGTAAAAACAACTGGAAGTTATCAGTGAAATTTTCAAAAGCACTTTTGGATAAGACACAGGTTCTTCAGTCATTTGCATGCATTCATGGCCTGAATATAATGCAGCAAGTTTAGCCAGAGAGAGAAGAAGCATAAGCCAAAGATTTTGCCACATAGGGTATAATAAAGTCAATACACAAGCCAGCCTTCTGTTTCTTTAGAGTAGTCAGGTTTTTATGACATGTGCTTCAGAAATAGCTGCAGTACCTGAATTAACCTAGTATTAGAGAGTTTTCAATCGATGTATGCTCTCTGAGTCTTTCAAAGCAAACTGCAGGGACTTTTTTAATATGTTTTTCTCACATGCCAAAGGAAAACCCCAGAGAACTGAAATGGAACAAATGTGAGGCTGCACAAGACAGGGAAATAAATCAGAGAATCTCCTCCTAAAAGCTGGAAAATCTCTAGAAAGCTGAATTGTTGATATAGTAATGCAGTAATTGCGAATCTGGAGTGTTGCACTGTTTAGCAAAGACACAAATATGCCATAGGACAAAGGGACTCCTGAGGGCCAGAAGAACAGTGCAGCATTGCTAGTGCTAAAGCAGCAAGGCATGCCTTTGGAGGCTCAGAGGCATAGTAACATCTCTGATCAAATTTACCCTCTACTGGCCATAATTAGATTCTCAATCAGAGTGCTGGCTGAGGACAGAAGATGCTGACAAGGAGAAAAACATTTTGGAACCTTAGACAGAATAGCTGTACACACCAATAGAATGAGGGTTGGATCTGATAATGGGCTTGTGTGTGCATAGAGTAGAGGCTTCAATCTCCAGCTTCTAGAGCCTGGCTCCCAGGGGGAATGGAAGCAAGATGCAGCATGACAGTGGACTTACAACAATCTAAAATCACAATGTTGCAAAGTGGGCTGCCTCTCTACCACCCTTCCAGGGCTTCTCTTCTACACATCCTACCCTGTCTCACAAAAGGATTACTAAACCTGTGACCACAGTCACATAAAAATACTTTCCCACCACCATCTCTTGTTTGATTTCCAAGCAAAACAGAGACACAATGCTACTCCCCATACATCATTATCATTATATCACACTGACAGAAGGGAGGAAGCAAAAACCTACCAGGAGAGAAAGACAAGGAGCACAAAATTGTCTGGTCTCTAAGTGGTGATCCCAACCCAGGGAGCATCATCACCAACCAGGGCCACAGTCCCACAGAACCTCAGCACAGCTGGCAGAGCGAGGTTCCAGGTGTGGAACAGGCTCCATTGCCAGCCCCAGACATGGCAAAGGAGAAAACCAGGTGCATGATCTCTCCAGGGATACAGCCAAAGGCAAAAGATGAAGCAGAGACAGATTTGCAGCCCTACAACTGAGATCAAGGCAGAAGCCCAGGCCTGAGCTTAAATGGAGTTTCAGAATACCCTCTTTTACACCATCTGAGGAATCAAAAGTGCCTTGCCAAACACTTGGGGATTTGAGAGACCAAAACTTTGAGATATGAAAGGAAGGAATGATGGGACAGCTTCACAAAATATGGCAGTTTGCCAGACTTAGGCTGGGTACTCTGCAAGCCTACTGTGAGACAGGCACTGCCCATGAACACATAGCAGTCAATTAAACCATGCATCAATAAAACGGGGGTGTCTAGCTGCAAAACTAACACAGTACCTTGCTCTGACCATGGAGGGATTGAAGGATAGCAGAGCCCTGGAGTGCCCAACTCCCAGGAGAGCACCTCTTTCAGGAGGCAGGATCTCCCCAGGTGACCCAGACAGGTCTGCAGCAGAGAAAGTTAAAGACCAGCACAGACATCCTTTTGGAGAATGCCAACTCCCAGGCTCCTGAGGGGCTGCCACCTTCATCCCATGTCTCTTCATCCTCCTCTTCCTTCCCACATGTGGGCCATGACAGCAGCATGCAGAACCTCGGGACAGCCAAGGCTTCTCCCCTCCAGGAGTACAGGCTGCCACCAGTCCCATGCCCACAGAGCTCTGCAGGACACCAGGAGCGACCAGGCTATCGTGTCCAGCAAGAAAAAGGCTCTGCAGGGGCTGGACAATAGTGGCTGGGCCTGCCCAGTGCACAGGGCTCCATGGAGAAAAACTACCCTGCAGCAGCATCAAGACAGACTGGTGGACAAGGAGCTCCAGCAGCAGGAGGGTTGATGTGGTCTTGGCAGCTCAAAGACAGACACAGGGAGGTGAGTGCCGAGGACAGGACAGGATTGTGTAGGACAGGATGGGTTAAACAGAAAAGCACCCTCACACTGAGGAAGAAGTCCTCAAGAAACCTCCCCTCTCTCATTTTTCATATGCCAGGGGAATACATTTCTCCACCTTTGGCAGACAAAGCTGACAAGCCTGGAGGTACTTGAGGCCATCCTAAGCCTTAGTATGCAGAAAGCACTGGTGTGGCTTGTAGCCCATGGCCCCAGTGAGCCAGGGACCTTGGTCGAGGAAGAGGACTGGAGTACAATACTCACAAAGAGCTGTCCCATGGGATGTGGGAAGAGTACCCCAAAAATCCAGTGCCCTTGGAGACTTGGGAAGATTACAGCAAAAGCCAAGTGTCCCAAGATGTGTCAGAAGACCATGGCAGCAAAGAACTGTTTCAACAGGAAGATGCAGAGGGCACAGCCGCAGCAGGAGAGGCCGTCAGCAGCCTGCAGAGGGCATCTCCTGCCCTGGGCGGTGCTACCGACACCAGGGATGACCCAGGCACACCCCAGAGTCGAGCATTGCCCCAGACAGGGCAGGTCTGGCCCAGCCATCCCAGAAAGCAGCATCACACACACCAGCCCTGGCCATGCACCTTCCACTCTTCCCTGGGAAGAGCTCTCAGCACTGGGGCTGCAGGCAGGAGCTTGTCTGTGCCCACCCATCTCCTTGGGGACAGATCTCCTCCTCCCACAGGCATTCATGCCCCGGCCCAAAGGCCACAGCGCTCCCTGTCCAGGTGGGCACTCGGTGCTGTGCTCAGGGCATTCCTTGGCACCTGCGGCCCACGGGAGCAGGAGCAGCAGTGCCAGGCTGTCAGCACAGGGCAGGGGCCTGGAGATGGACATTGAGACCTGAGCAGTGTCCCTCTGGGAGAGTGGCATGGGAGCCATGGATACAGGACAGTGCCCCAGGCACCAGCTGTCCCAAGGGCATCCTGATGTCAGACTGCTCTTGGCCACGGCTTTTTGAGACCAGCCTATGATTTCCCTTCAGACAGCTTTGTTAATCCTGGACTTTGCTCCTCTCTTTAGAAAGATTTTGTTCAAACACTGTTGCATGTCATCCACACTCTAAGAAAACCTCCCAAAACTGTACAAGAAAAGATTAGATCTTGTTCATAATTTTACCACAAATATTTTGATTTACCACAAATATTTGATACTTTTTCTTCAATAAAACAGTCATTTAGCCCAATTAACTGAGTTTTGTGAATACAAAGAATGGATTCAAATGCATAAATATTGTAGGTACCTAAACTGAGATAGAGTATAGTTTTAAATTTCAGAGGATCTTTTTATTATCTCTAAGCAGGTGACAGCTACTGCCAAGTATAAAAACTATCTTTCTTGACTCCAACCTTCAGTCTTTAACTTTCCTAACCTTGGAAATGAAGTTCATCTTAATACAAGCTTATTAAAGAAAATCAGAAATGTTCTTTAGTGGTTACACTGAATTCTATTTTAAATAATAGACTAATTTTTCTCCTTAGAGCTAAGAGTCAGGTATCTAGAACTTAAAACAATCTAAGGGTGTGTCCTTTTCTTTAAAAGCTAGTAAATAAAATATGATTAATAGATTATTAATTAGTTTCACACAGAAACGTATCTGGTTTGGTAATACAGAATTCTCACTTCTAGTTAATGATAGTTGAAAAATGGCATTCTGCTTATCAAGAACCCATGATAGTGATATTTTCTAAATAACGTATCAGGATGAAAGAAAAAATAGCCAGATTTTCTGGCTAATAAAACCTCAAAGAAATATGTGTTTCAAAGACATAAGAATATTTCATTTCATTTCCTCGCAGTCAAATCTTTTGTTTTGTGAACACTGAAATGAAAGATGTATGAAGTAATACATTTAAAATACAATTAAATAAATAGTAATTTTATAATTCTTCCTGTAAAATATTATAACAAAATAAAGAGATTTTAGTAAGATTTATGTCCCCTCAGGACATCTCTCCAGTGAAAATTATAAGAGTTCAAGTCTCCTCTTCTCCCAGTCCATTTGCTTATTCAGAAGTTTGAGCTAATCAAAATGGGGAAAGCTGATTTATCATTTCATATATGTATGTATATATATATATACATTTAGAAACCATTATTTTAGGAAAAAGAGGAGTGAAGGGATCGAGTGCATCCTCAGCAAATTTGTAGATGACACCAATCTGAGTGGTGTAGTTTATACATCTGAAGGATGTGATGCCATCCAGAGGGACCTGGACAAGTTCGAGAAGTGGGCCCTTGGAATTTCATGAGGTTTAACAAGACCAAGTGCAAGGTGCTGCACCTGGGTCAGGGTAAACCCCAGTATCCCTGCAGGCTGGGGGATGAACAGATTGAGAGCAACCCTGATGAGAAGGACTTGGGGGTGCTGATGGATGAGAGGCTGGATGTGAGCTGGCAATGTGCACTCACAACCCAGAAAGCTAATTGTGTCCTGGATTAAAGCTAATTGTGGCTAATTGAGGGATTCTGATCCTCTGCTTTGCACTGGAGAGACCCCACGTGGAGTGCTGCATTCAGGTCTGCGGTCCTCAGCAGAAGGACATGAACCTGTTGGAGTGAGGCCAGAGGAAGGCCACCAAGATGATTAGAGGGATGGAGTATCTCTCCTATGATGAAAGGCTCTGAGAACTGGGTTTGTTTAGCCTGGGAAGGAAAAGGCTTCAGAATGACCCAATTGCAGCTTTCCAGTACCTGACTGGAGCCTACAAGAAAGATGGAGAGGGACTTTTTACAAGAGCATGTAGTGACAGGAGAAGGGGAAATGCTTCAAACTAAGAGTAGATTTAGATTAGATATTAGGAAAAAATTCTTTACTGGAACAAGTTGCCTAGAGAAGCTGTGGATGTCCCATCCCTGGAAGCATTTAAGGCCAGGTTGGATAGAGCTCTGAGCAACCTGGTGTATTGGAAGGTGTCCCTGTCCACTGGATGGCAGTTGGAACTGAATGATCTTTAAGGTCCCTCCAACCCAAACTGTTCTATGGTTCTATGATCTGCAATAACATTTCCACCTTTTCTGTTTAATTTTTCTATTTCAAGGTGTGCAGGTCATATAAATTACTTCTTTTCCAGAAATAACTCAAGCTTGGCTGGATTGGTTTTATAATATCTATAAATATTTATATATTTCTATTTTTCTCCTTGTCTTTTTTGCTTTTGTTTATGTTGTTGTTTAAAAAATTCTTACGTTTATTAAAGGATTTACTCTTGTCTTTATGTCTACTACATATTCAGCCAATTCTTGGAAAGAAAAGTAGCAGCCCCAGAAGAAAACTGGAGACCAAACACAATCTGATGGCCAGTCTATGTACACACACTCCCACACAGAAACACACTAATCATGATCAATAAAACACCATCTGTCAAAAACACATAATGTAACTCCTAAGGAAAGTCTACTTAATGAGTGAAAAAGGAATAAAAGTTTCCTTAGTGGGCTTCAGCGAAGAGCAATTCATTTAAAAATCACTTGCTGGTTTGTGAATTAAGGGACCTGTCCCAGTCTGTAGAGGTGTGTTATATTTTATACTATATATTTTATATTATTTGATATTAAAACTTTGCAGCAGACCAACTTTTTGTGACAAGCTTTTCCTTCTGCCAGGCCTCCTTCCCTCATCCCCTCCCTCCCCCCTCCCTCTCAAGCATTTTGATGCTTTTATCTATTGATTCTGTTCTCACACTGCTGTTGTTCTTCAGACCTTCCATGTATCAGTAGTGGTGGGATTACTTGCTTCTGTTGCCAATTAACACTATATGAACAATACCCACAGAATCACCCTTTCTCTGAACCTCACAAGCAGGCATTTTTTGCACAAATACAGTCAAACCCAGAGTTGGAGATCTCACAAATCAAGTTCAAATCCACCCTTGTAACTTCCAATATATTTAATTTTTTAGTGAGGTCAGAAACTCTAAGGAGGACCCTCCTGAAATATGTATGTCAACAAAGTCGACACTTTTTTTCCCCTGTTAAATGTTAAAAAACTTGCTTGATGGACTACGTGGTATTATTTACCTGATATGCTCCAAATATAGTTCTATTCTGTAAAATAAATAAATCAGGATGGGCTTTCAAGCAGACAGATGACATTAATCAAGAACATGGGAGTTTAAAACTGGAGAGTAGCACCCAGGCCTCTCTGGCAGCACCACACACACAGGCACTGGCCATTTTTCCTAAAGGATTGCAGCCCATGGAAACACCAGTGTTGGATCCAGGGAACAGTGTGAGGAGGGAGCATCGGACACAAAGTCTTGTGCATTGAACACAACCCCCTATCCCTCTTCCCCCCTGCACTGCTCAGGCTGGAGGGGAGAGGAGTCAGAAATGAATGACTGATGTTGAGCCTGTGAAAAAAAGGGACGTCTTGTTTTAATGTTTGGGTTCTGTTTTCCACTACTCAAGTTTGTTTCAATTGGAATTATTTAGAGGAATTTTCCTCAGGTTGAATCTGTTTCCTCTGTGACTGTAACTGGTAAGGAGTCTCCCTGTCTTTGTCTCAACCCATTAGCTTTCTCATCCTATTTTTTCCTCCAACCTGCTGAGGATGGGGCAGTGAGAGAGCAGATCAGTGGGCATTTGGCTGCCAGCCAATGCTAGCTCACCACAGCACCGACTCAATTGCCTCCTCATCTCCAAATGCTTTCCAAATTTACCAGCCCTCTTCCCCAAATACTGCAGTTTGTGCAAAGAGCTAAAAAGAGCTATTTTACACGAAGAGATGGAAAAAAAAATTACTCCCTGGAGAAATGAAAGATTAAATAAAATAAAATGTGATTAATTTAAATAATTTCTTTATAAAATGTATTAATTAGAATAAAATGAGGGAACATCATTAAGAGGTGTGAGCAAGCATTTATCTCCTGAATCTAAAGTCCTAAATCTTCCCCTCCAAATGTTGAAATATAACTACAGGTTGAGAAAAAAGAAAAGAACATTGAGCAAAGATCACTATCTTCTTTGGAGAAATGAGGCAAAGGTGTCACAGTAGGCTACCTTTAATCATTTCCCTCTTGAAACAGCAAGCCAGCAAATAGGAAACCTGAGGTCAATGGTTAACTGAGCCTAAGAGATTCAAGTTTATATTTTCTGCCTCCTCAAGACCCATCTTACACACTTGCTGAGTATGGCTAAATGGGGAAAACTTTCCAGGTGTTCTGGGCCACAGTGGAGAGGAGAATGCAATAATTGACTCATTAGATCTTGCTGATGATCATAAGTTCTGCTTCCTCCTTCTGTAAAGTCAGTGAAGCAAACAATAACATAATCCAAAACACAGAGAATGTCCTAATCATTACAATAACATCCTCCCTTATGCTCACTCTCTTTTGATCAAAGGCTCTTACATGTTCACTTGTATACCAGCCCTGTTTATGGCAAAACAGTCTGATTCAGGCCAGGAAAACAGCTTTCACTCAACACTTCCTTTACTCTGGTAGGTGGGTAACAAAAGTTAAAGCTCGTTCAGGCTAAGAAAGGAATTTATCCTGGTACATACTCTCCCAATATGTATTCAAGCCAATTAAGTTGTAATACCAAAGATGTGTAGTTGGGGCATCACAGGTCTCTTCAAGCTGTGGAAAGTATCCGTTTCTTGTGAAAGATTCTCTGCAAGCAGACACTAACTAAAATCTATTTGATCTGACTAAACTGAAAACTGGAAGAATGACTGCCTATTTTCAGAGTCAGGGGACCTTGATGCTAACAGCCAGCTTGGGGAGAGCAAAGTTCAAAAACAACTCTAGGTCTGTGAAATTGCCCCATCAATGGGGAGCTACCTGTAGGGAAAATTTTTTAAGTCCTAGCTCTGATGGGCTGTACTTCTGAATAGGAATTGACCCT